CTATCTATCTATCTATCTATCTATCTATCTATCTATCTATCTATCTATCTGTCTGTCTGTCTGTCTGTCTGTCTGTCTGTCTGTCTGTCTTTCTGTCTCTGTCTGTCTGTCATATGACATGCAAATTGATTTATGGTAGTTAACTTGTCTAGCATGTGTAAGACCCTAAATTCAACCCTTAATACCACACAAATGTAAGCATTACCTAGTTAAAAGTTATAAATTTAACTATGAAGACTTAAACAGATGACTGATACAATTGTACAAAATCAATATTAAAAGTAAGAAATTAATATGCTACTTTGATTTAAGTCCAATGAAAATAATTACTGTTCTTTTTGTGGGCCTTAAATGCATATCTTGACCCATAATATTATTTGTTAGTTGTGGAGAATAGAAAGAAGTCATAGTTTCTTCAGGCTTTCTTCTCTATAGGAATAGTCACAGATTATGAATATATACAAATAAAATCATATAAAACATCAAAAATGCTATTTTGAAACAAAGCTGATACATTAATGTAAACTTTGTAATATCCAGGTTGATGGCACACAGATGGCTTCGGTTTTTTTACTTTGCTTCAAGTTTAATAAATGTGAGCATGTCTCATACTCTAGCCTACTATGTTAACCTGGTATGTGTCATTCAGTAGTTCTGAGTTTATAGGACAATATGCCAAGGCTAGGGAAGAACATAATTGCTGTAGTTCATGAGAAAATCCCGTAAGTTAATGTACAGGTACAAAAGATAAAGGTAGGTAAAGTGAAATTGTTTATATGTATGTGAATTTCCAGTTTTGTTTATGAATTGATGTTTTAGTAAACCCCAAACTAATCCACAGTAGCTAGATAACGATAAAAGAGGAAGTTATCTAAAGATAAACGGTTAGTAATACTACCAAGAAGTGTTCACACACTTGAAACCACTCCATTGAACCAGATAATATATTTTGAAAGAATAAATAAATTAAGATAAATGCTACAATTTGAAACAGTATTTTACCATCAATGGTAGTAGTGCTCCATTTTGACTATAGGTTGACATGGATTGTCTTATTAAAACAAAGAAAACTATAATAAATCATAGGCCAAGTTTTATTGGCAATAAGTCACATACATTTGCAAGTTTAAATTATAAAAATATTAGCACTTTACTGTGGCAGAGCTATAAACAAACAAACAAACAAACAAAAAACAAAACAACAAAAACAAAAACAATCTCTGCCTGTTGCAAAAGAGCAGTCTCCTGGCCTGTTTTAACTTGAACTGCTCACATATAACTAATAAGCACATATATTCTAAATTTTGTTAACTTCTCTTCTTTTCATTTCCACATTCCATCTATAAAAATATTTTTAATCTATGTCCACAGAAGCATAAGTGTTTACACATTTATTTTACTAACATTGATTTTTCTTTACCACATTCTGGCAAGCCAATGATTTTGAATTATGAATTTAAATTAAGGATTCACACAAGGTATGAGTTCATGAGCCCTCATCTTAAAATATAATTCTTTATGGTAAAATTCAGATTTAACTTGGTCAGCTCAATATCTTAAAGATTAGAATACCTTCTCTAATGTCTGCTCTGATATTGCTTTCTCATTCTTCTCTGGAGTACTCTTCTTGACCCCAGCATCTTCAGGGTGTCTAAAGAGTTGTTCTGGAAGCAAATAAATAATATATTATGGTACATCATATATTGCTGAAATACTGCACTGTCGTCTTAAGGGGAAAGGTTTTGCAGTTTTTCAATTATGAATAATCAAGTCTATTTTTCGTGCAAGTATTTGGCCAGAATCAAATGATGACCTTTCTCATAAGTATTTTGTCACATAATTATGTATCTTTGTGGTGTCACTTTTTTTTCCCAGCAGTGTTAAGTTTTTCAAAGGTATAATAGTTCTGTGGGTTAACAATGCTAGACTTTCATTTCAATGTTCATTCTTTTGTAGACTATTCCACCTTTACCTTAAAAGCAGAATTCACTGGGTTTTTTGTTTTTGTTTTTTTGTTTTTTGTTTTGTTTTGTTTTGTTTTTATCTACAGTGCTACTGGTTTTGTTCTGCTGACCCTGTTCCCTGCCAGGAGGATCACAGTGATTGCTGAATAAAGCAAACTAACAGAATTGGACACTGAAACCAGAACAGCGCACTAACCTTTCCTTCTGGGAAAGGCCCTGTATAGGTGAGTTAAACCATAAAAAACTAATTTGTGGAGGAGCTATGGCTTCCTCAGAAACAAGCCCATATTCACAAGTGAATTTGTTTGCCAAATCACTCCTGCACAGGCTGGCAACTACCTACTATACCCTTCTTAGCACAGCAAAAAACCTACAAGTAATTTACCAAGTTAAGGGAACCCTGTCATCAATTATTCAACAATAATAAAAATTACCCAAATCTATGAATAACTGTTTTCCTTCTAGTTAAGTAACAGTGATGAAGTTACCATTCTTTATTAACTTCCTAAATTACATTTAAGAACAATGTTCTTAAAGAACCAAACAGGGAGCAGAAAGAATGCACAACGCTAAGGGTATGCATCTGTGTTGTTTTACTTTTGCTTTAAAGCCTGACTGCTGTAGATCAGTGTAAAACTTTGATTTATCAACAAAGAAAGAGAAAACAATAGTATTCTCTGTAGAGTAGAAATCCTCCTGATAAAAACAGTGACTAACAAGTTTGTTAGAGTGAATTAGGCATTTCTTTTGTCTTTGAAACATGACATACTCAATTAAAACTTCTGTGCTCATGAAATAAGTAGAACACTATCCTAAGGATAATAAAAGCTAGAATAGGTAAAATTTGCCTCTTGGGGAACACTTACCTTTACCTTGATAATGATCTATCAGCTCCCAAGCTTCTCTTTTTAGTCCCCTAACACCATGGTGCTGAATTCATTTACAACAGTCTTCAATAATATAGAAATAATATGCAAATATAATTCATCTGTTCTAGTCATTTAAATACCTCCTATAGTTCTGAGTGAGATATTTATCCTTAAAAATAACATAATAATACCAAATTCACAAAGCATAGAGTACTACCAACATCTATATATTGTTAATAAAATAAACACTAAAGAATTATTTTTAAAAGAGTTTCCTTGCTGAGTATTTGGTCCTAGGTTTGTACAAGGCATGCTGGGCAGAATGGCTGTGCATGTTCACCTGTGGATGTCGCTAAGAAAGATTTTTCTTTCCTCTATACCTTTTATAACAATACTGAAGCAGTTAGGCTCATACTGTGCGGTGAAACAAGGAACACACTCTTAGCCACTTTAGTCTGAGCACCTCAGGCATGGGAACTGAAGAAAGAGGACCTAGTCAAGAAAATGGCCTATCTCTCTCTCTCTCTCTCTCTCTCTCTCTCTCTCTCTCTCTCTCTCTCTC